CTTACAGTGGGCTATGTGTGTGAGCTCTGGAGCTGGACAAGAAGGGTACCAATTGCTGGCCTACACCAATGATTAGCTGACCGACCTAGATGCCCATCCCTTAAACTTTCAGTAAATAGGAATCAAACACCTACTGTAAGGGCCAAAGGAAACAGCTAAAGTACTTTCACCAAGTACTGTCAAATATCTGTCACACAGTAAACCCTCAGAATATGAAGGCTATTGTTCCTGCATATAAGCTCCCTAAGGACAGAGATTTTTGTCGGTTTGGTTCACTCTACTAATAAGGAGGCATGCCTTGGTCAGCTTTCATGAAATACTCCTAGTTCCTCCAAAATGACATTCACTTTGATCTATATTAATTACATTCAAATGCTGCTATCCTTAGTGTATACTTCCTCTCTTTTACTGTAAGAGGTTTCAGCTGCTTTTTGGAAAGATTTAAATGTTTGAAAATATTTTAAGTGTTTTAAGAGTATCTGAGTTACCATATGCACCACTTACATTTTCTGCAAACAGTGTGCTTACACGTAATTATAAATATCTCAGACTATAAAAGAAAACCTTTCATAGTATTCCCACAACTGAAAAACAAAGTCTTAGAAATAATTATAGAGGGAGCAGAAGGGAGGGGTAGGTAGAAGACAGTTTACTAAATCAGCAAAGTAAGAAGTGGAGTTTTGTCATAAAACAAAACAAAAACCTGACAACCATTTGCTAAAGGCTGCCAAAACTTGATAATAAGCAAACTGCCATGGGAAACAAATGATAAAATATAAAATCCTTTTCTGAGAAAGTAACTTCACCAGTCCTGGCTTTTCCAATTCTGAATCACTAATGCTACTGGCCCCGCTGACTTGTCTTAACCACTACAGAGAAGTCCAAAGGGACAGGCAAGGGGCTCATGGGCAAATATTTCCTCTACTGTCACTGACATTTTCAATATGGCCACATCTCTCCTCCCCCACTTTCCCACTCCTTCTCTGCTTCCTTCAAAAAAAAAAAAAAAAAAAAAAAAAAAAAAAGCCAGTTGATGTCCTGATAGATCATTTGAGTAAATGCAAAGGAAAAATCACTTAACTAGAAAACAAGAGCCTGGATTCTGGCCCAACCTTCACCTAGTGCTAGTGCTGGGTCCCCTGACTAGCCACTTCTTTGGGCTTTAGTTTCCTCATGTGTAAAACAAGGATGGACTAAATGGGTAATCACCCACCTGGGATTCTAAAATCTCCAGAAGCCCCTAAAGATGTAATAACAGACCATAGGATATTTTTATTACTTCACAATGTCTAACAGAGATAGTCCATTAAGTGCTAAAAGGCTAATTAAAACATCCAATATTTTGGCTTTAGACTAGTATTCCACACGGTGACACAGAATGGCACGTGATGATGTTTGTCATATCATATGAAATTGGGGAAAAAATGTATTGGATCTGATATGATCCTTAAAGATACACTTCAGAAACATCAGAGTTCCTGTAGTACACATAACATCCAACCACAAATGTCTCGTTAATAAATAAGGGAGGAATGAGTTAACACCTATCAGTGCAATTTGTGTAATAGACAAAATTTCTCAAAATTGGAAGTACACCCCATTAAGCGAACAGACTCAAATACAATACTCCTAAATATGTATAGGGTCACTGAAAACCAGGGAACAATCTACTTGCTGCAAAGGTGAAGCTCCCGTTTCTCACCAAAGGTCCGAATCACTCATCCACTTTTGATTAAAGTCAAAGCAACAAAAAGTCCATACTGCAACATAAAAACATGGTTTACTTCACTCTTACTATGTGCCAGTCACTGCACTATGAATTATTATTACCTTATACACTTATTTAATCCTTGTAACAATCTAACAATTACATGCTGCTATAATCATTTTATTAGTAACAAATATGCAGCACAGTGCTTAAGAAACTTGCCCAAAGACACAGAGCTGGTATGTTCAGAGCCAGACTAAAAAGCATCCCTATCTTATCTCCCCATAAGTTGCTAATTCCCTCTCAGAGAAGTCTCCAGAAACACAGGCAGGAATGTCCCCAAGCAGAGCCCTCAGGAGTCAGGCCATTGCTCCTAAGAGCAGCCGTCTGAAGGTCTCTTAGTTGTGGCTCATTTGGCTTAAAGACTCATCCTTAACTGGAACTCCCCTCCTTTCAGCCCAGATTCACTTTGCTTGTCCTGGCGATAGAAATGAACTAAAGGAAGCTTGTTGACATTGGTGAACTAATGTCCATCCATTTCTTATTTATTCAGAAGATACAAAGGATTCCTAATAGCTGACCTCTACATTCAAAGAACTGCCAGGGGCGCAGGGGTGGGTCAGTTGGTTAAGCATCCAACCTTGGCTCAGGTAATGATCTTGCAGTCTGTGAATTTGAGCTCCACGTCAGGCTCTGTGCTGACAGCTCAGAGCCTGGAGCCTGCGTCAGATTCTGTGTCTCCCTCTCTCTCTGCCCCTCCCCTGCTTGTACTCTTTCTCTTTCTCTCTCAAAATTAAATAAACATAAAAAAATTTTAAAAAAACATTCAAAGAACTGCCAGTCTCATTAATTTTTACTTATACATACCATAAAAGTATGCCTCTTAAGGGGCACCTGAGTGGCACAGTCAGTAAAGCACCTGACTCTTGATCTCATCTCAGGTCATGATCTCATGGTTTGTGAGTTCAAGCCCTGTATCGGGCTCTGCATTGATGGTGCGGAGCCTGCTTGGGGTTGTGTCTCCTTCTCTCTGCCCCTCTCTGGCTTGGCTTGTGCCTTCTCTCTCACAAAAATAAATAAATAAACATAAAAAAAAATTTTAAAGAAAGAAAGTGTATGTGGAGTGTAAATAAAACAAAATTCTAAAAAATGCATCTTTAGTATAAGCCTCAGTTTCCCCACTTAACCTACTCCCCATCTTGTAGGGCTGTTGTAAGTGTGATTGTATGAAAGTATAAAGAGCCCCACAGTTGCCTGAAGAGGCTTGAATTCTGTCTCCATCCTTCATTAACCACATTATTCACCCCATCATCCAAAGCTGGGAATCTAAGTTCCAATTTCCTTATCTATAAAACAGTTAAATACTGTCTACCCTAAAGGACAGCCACATGAAATGAGGAAATATATGTTAAGCACTAGCAGAATGCAAACACACAGTAAAAATTCAACAAAATGTTTAAAAAAAAAAAAAGCTGAAGTTTAAGAAGTCAAACCGCAAGTTTACATCCCCAGCCCTGTCACTTATTATCTAGGTCTAAACAATGGTATACAAGCCAAGTGACCCCTCTGAGGCTCAGTTTCCACTAAGGTTTTATGAAGAATAAAGGAGGCTACGATAAGAGGGTTCTGTAAACTCCACACTGCTATATCAACGCTGAGGTTGTTTTACTTTATGAAAATAAGTTGTATGTGAGTTGTATTGACTGAGCCCTCCAAATATTATCTGCATCTTTAAAATGGAAAAACAGGCAGAGAAATGTTAAGCAATAGAGGGAAGGCTGGCAGTTCTAAAAGTAAGGTAGAGAAAAGGACTAGGCCAAAATAAATTCAGACCGTGACACAGCAGAAAACAAATAAACCTTCAAAAAGAAAGATGAAAATAAACACCCCTCAACCTGTTTTTAATCAGCAGCTTCACCTGTTGATTAAGCCTCTCAGTGCACAGTCTAGGTGTAAGAATTCTCTCATTTCCTCCCAGAAACAGTATTAGACTTCAGGGTGAGAAAGAGCTTCACTATCAAATCTCTTTTCCCACCTGTAAATTAATTTTGTGGATGGGGCATAGAAACAAAGACAAGTGGACACGAACCAGAATCTCTCTAACTGGTTTTCTCTTAACCACACCTAAAAAAGAGTCACAATCCTCTTCAGAGAGGTTTCCTTCTTCGGCTGGTCAGAAATGTCCTTGTTCTCCAGGTCTCTTCCTGCTAAATATGGTAATAGCTGGCAAACAACCAGCCCAGTAAATTCCAGTAATACTTAAGAAAGCATTCATATTGCCTGAAATTACTCTGAATCAAACAACTGCGACCTGCAGGGCCTCCACATACAACAGTTCAGCTGGAGCTCTTAATGTCCAAGGCAGCAGGGCACCTTAAGAACATACAAGGTTGAAAAAAAGGCAGTCTGCTCGTCTTTATTGCAACATTCTTCAGCAACAACACTGATCTCCTACCCACTGCGCACGCAGCACCGCACCGGGGCAGTGGGAGGCGGGAGGCAGAGATGGAAGAAACAGGTGGTGTCCGTGGGGTGCCAAAACAACAGGTTGATTGAGTCAGTTCTGTCCCACAACTAATCAATTTGGTGAGGAGAGAGGAGAGGGAATCTTAGTCATCCTGCTGTCTGACCAAACTGACTGGCTAAACCACAGTACAATTATCAATTAGGTCAAAATGTCAGATTTAGTGGTGCATTAGTCCTGCCTCTCAGGGATGTCACATACTTCAAAGATCCTGGATGTCCAGGAAGACAGAACATAACCCTCAACCCACCAAAAATCACATATTTAGCTCCACGATATACAGTTTTCCTCCAATATCTTTTATAAAATGTTATATGTGCATTTCCTGAGCACGTACAACTGACAGCTCATTGTTTAATGATACAGTCAGATTCGAATGTTAAAGAAGCTATAGAAAATACCAGTTAACAAAAAGAAAATTGATCAAACTCATTACAAGTCAAAGGATTAAAAAACCATCAAATAAACAATATTTGGTATCAGTATTGGTAGCAATTTGATATTATGTAGTTTAACCTGTCCATACATGTTGTAACACATTTAAGACAAAGGACTAATACACTTAATATAAACAGCTTTTTCAAATCAGTAACCAAAACAAGAATACCTTGAGGGGTAAAAGACACAATTTACCAAAATAAGTAAATAAGTGCCCACTAACCATATGAAAAACCATTCAACATTATTGTATAATCAGAGAGGCAAGTTAAGATGAGGTAGCATTTAACACTTAACAAATTGGTTAAGAGTTTTAAAAATACTGCTGCCATGGCGTCCTATTTCGATGAACACGACTGCGAGCCATTGGATTCCGAGCAGCAGGCCCGAACCAACATGCTGCTGGAGCTCGCAAGGTCACTTTTCAATAGGATGGACTTTGAAGACTTGGGGTTGGTAGTAGATTGGGACCACCACTTGCCTCCACCTGCCGCCAAGGCTGTCGTTGAGAACCTTCCGAGGAGAGTCATCAGGGGCTCTCAGGCCGAGCTCAAGTGCCCCGTGTGTCTTTTGGAATTTGAGGAGGAGGAGACTGCCATTGAAATGCCTTGCCATCACCTCTTCCATTCCAACTGCATCCTACCCTGGCTAAGCAAGACAAATTCCTGCCCCTTGTGCCGCCATGAGCTGCCTACTGATGATGACACTTACGAGGAACATAGACGAGATAAGGCTTGCAAGGAGCAGCAAAAGCACCGACTTGAGAACCTCCACGGAGCCATGTACACATGAGGGGCCCCACATGTACACATGAGGCGCCTGGGGCTGAGTACCGGTCCTCCAAATCTTTCTCTTGCACTGCGAATCCTCATTAAAGTTTTCTTTACCCACCCTGCACTGCATTGCTCACAAGCCTGGGCCGGGACCCCTTACCCTCCATGAGGTCCCTACTGCCGTTGGGGAAGGTGATCCTGAACCACAGAAATCACCAGGCTGTGTGTCCCTTCCTGCTGAGTCTACACACTGCTCAGTCTGGCCTGAGAGCAGTGGAGCCCAGGTCAAAAGCATGGCTACTTTTTTACACATCAGCCAGGGCTTTGGGCCTATGTGTTCACTGCTGGAAAGCAAAACGTGTCAGGGTCTGGCATCCAATAGCCACTTACAGATGATAAGGACAAACTAGCCTACATCCTCTCCCCTGCAATTCTTAGTAAACCTTGGAATCCCAAAAAAAAAAAAAAAAAAAAAGAGTTTTAAAAATAAAAACTAGTGTTGAACACAGTTGGGAACACAGTATGAATACAGTTGCATATTCTGCTGATGGAAATATAACTTAGTCAAACCTTATGGAAGGGAATTTGGTAGTGTGTATCAAAGTCACAGAAAGGTCCATACTCCGATACAACAAATTGACTTCTGAGAGCGTATGTTAACAAAATAAATATTCCTACCAAGATTTAAATATAAGAATGTTCATTACAGCATTATTTACATTATGAAAGTTGGCAACTAAGAATTGATTTCGGTTTCAGTTATATATGACGGATCCTAAAGATAGAACAGTATGCAACCTTTAATTTAATATTCTTAAAGAACATTTACATATAGGAAAATGTTCACAATATTTTAGGTAGTACAGATGATAAAATGGTACATATGCTAAAATACTAACTGCAATAACAGACACACAAAAAAGTTGTCTAGAATGTATCAAAATATTAACTGTGGGTTTTGGTTGGAAGTGATAGAATTATTAGAGATTTTAATTTTCTCTTCTGCTTTCCTTTTTATTTTTAAATTGTTTCCCAATTTTTAAAAATTACCCTCTTTGACATAGTAATTTTTCTTCTGCAACTCTAGCTTAATGGGGGAAAATCCTAATGAGGAATTTTTTTTTTTAGGTATGAAGGTGGTCAATATCATTTCTGTAGGAAAAAATGGAACCACCTAAATACAGAACCAAAGAATAGTCAAAACCATTATTTACTAACCATTTATTTAAAAACCATTATTAACCATTTAAAAGCCATTATTAATAAATTATTAATTTAATAACCATTTTATTTAACCAATAAAATTCAATTTATGAAAAATGGTTAAAAATATGAAAAACATTTATAACCATCAAAGAAAGGCATTAGAGAAAATTATGTATACACATCATTAATAACTTTTTAAAACTAAAGGTAGTGGGGTGTGGGTGGCTCAGTCAGTTAAGTGTCTGACTTTGGCTCAGGTCACGATCTCACAGATCATGAGTTCTGTCCCACATCAGGCTCTCTGCTCTCAGCATGGAGCCTGCTTCCGAGTCAAAACTAAATAAGCATTTTAAAAATTTAAACAAATAAATAAAACTAAAGGTACAAAAAAGAGACCAAAAGATGTACACCAAAATATTAACAGTGGTATGATTATGAATATTTTTCTCATTATTTTCTAGATTTTTCAATATCCTTAACTACTTTTAAACGTAATTACTTTTTAAATAACCTCCTCTTCCAAAAAAACATCTTACAGGGGCACCTGGGTGGCTCAGTCAGTTAAGTGACTGACTTCGGCTCCAGTCATGATCTCGTGGTTCAGGAGTTCAAGTTCCTGGTTGGGCTCTGTGCTGACAGCTCAGAGCCTAGAGCCTGCTTCAGATTTTGTGTCTCCCTCTCTCTCTGCCCCTCCCCTGCTCACATTCTGGCTCTCTCTCTCTCTTAAAAATAAATAATAAAAAAAATTAATAAAAAGAAATCTTGTAAAGGTGCCAGAGAAAATCAACAAAGTATAAATATGGGTTAATTATGTGTAAACATGAAGACTAATTCCGTTACTATGTAAACCTACCTTAAAATATTACAATGTTTATTTTTAGTTACAGCCATTTTCTTTAAGTATCTTAGGAAGTATATGTCACAGGAGTCATGAAATACTGTCACTTACTTTAAATAGGAACATACGACCAAGGACTTGCATGATATGTTCACAAGATGTTTTTCCTCTAATAATCCTCATAAAGATTAGAAAGTGTTTTAAGTGTTGCAATAAAGTAAGTGTCCTTAACATTTCCAATTAAAGAAGACCTAGCAAATAAATAAAGGCATGTTCACAGCAAAGAAAGACATTAAAAATAACAATCAAAATATACACATCCTCAAACTTCAACGAGTCTCGACACTTTCTGGATAGACCAAGGCATGTGGAAGCAGAGAATTAAATGGCAGTTTCTTTGCAGCTCACCACATTTCAATTTAGAGAAATTAACACATTAGCACAATCTAGTTTTCTGACTATTCATATTCAGAAACTCAACAGAAAGTATTAGTGAGTAAACACTATTCAATTATTCTTATTTGAACATTGGATAAATATGCCCGCATAGCAACCTCTCCTTCACGGGGTCCAGTTGAAACAGACTATTTAATCTTCGAGGCTTAAAAAGCTTCCCAGGATCCCCTCACAAAAGACAGATGAGAATAAAAAGAGATGAAAAAGAGGCAAACAACAAGCACTTTCAATGCACCTGCTTTGGAACAAGCTAGTATACTTTAGAATGTGAAATACTTCATTCAGTAAGCAAAATCGTATTTTAAAGTGATGCTATTTGTTAAAAGACAACATATTAAGGAGGCAATATCTGACTACAATCAAAATATTACCGTCATGTTTTCCTTACCTCACAAAATACACACATGCTTTCTTCATATGATTAAATATATATAAGGGTGGGGGAGCCACTCAACTCAGAAACAGGTTCTGCAGCACCCATAGCTCCAACTTGCCTCTGTGAAGCAATGAGTCCATTTGGCACGATGTTTGGCTGGTGTACCCAAAGAACCAGAGTCACTGCCCAGCTGCCAATGTTCTGAAAGGAAGTGACTTGAAGACCAGAAACTGCCTGAGGCAGGCCTCTGGGGCAGGTGCTTCAGTTCAATGGGAAGAAAGACCCAGGCCCCTCACTGAATGATCAGAGATCAAGGGCACCAGAGCTGGACCAAGGTAACTAGCCTACAGTTCAAGGGTGGCAAGGGACAGTAAAATGACCCCCCAAGACTTTGTTCAATCATATCTAATAAAACACAAACTCTGAGGAGCTGGTAGAGCAGGGTTTTGCCAAGACAAGCAGAGAGGGTGAGGGAGAAGGTAGTATGATTAATCAATGCCACCTGGGGCAGCAGCTCTGGGTGTGTCCATACCGTACCTCAGTCACTGCCTGGCCATGACAAGAAGTTCCTTCAGCTACTGCCATTGAGAGCTAGGTCTTCCAAAGAAGATATTTCCACCTTGTCCTAGATCAGGCTTTGCATCCGGGACTCAGAACACAGCCCTCTCTCTCTTGCCACAAACTCACTGATAGACACAACAGACACCATAACACGGGCCAAATTTACATTTAAACCCATACCAGACAAAGGGCTCTTTATCTTTTCCCCAAGTGAAGTTTTGATACTCCTAATTACAAAAGAGAAAGGGGAGACTAGCAGACAAGTCCAGGAGGAGTAAGCTGGGGGTCACTATTCCCTAGGAGACCAGAAGTTCATTCCCCCAGTCCCTAGAGCTCTTAGTCACTCTGACTGCAGGAAACTACTTTCAGAGACTGTAGACAAGTGACTAAATGACTTGTATTTCATATTCCTAATTGTGTGCTCATCTGTCTTATCTCCATGATGATGTCACTCCTTGGGGGCACGGCCCTATCTTTGACTTGGTCAATGGTTCCCACACATCTACAAGAGTAGAATACCCTGTACTGCCTACCCCATGATGAAATACACAAATTGAGGATGACAGGACACCACAATCCTCCCTAACACCCCACTAAGACAGAGATAATAAATCTTAGCGCCAACAGCTAGGGATCCTACCAGACTTTTATGTAGAAAGTTAGATACTCACACATACAAATAAATTAGTACAAGAATTGTCTCACTTTTCTCACTCCAAACTATGGCTCTTGTGATCTCCCCCTCCCCTTCTTGGCTTTGCTCTTTCTATGAGATCAGAGTGTATTTTCTGCCATTGAGTGGGCATCTGCCTCAAAAAGGAGAGGACAGAAAGAACAGGTCTACAGCAAACCTTCTACCACTACAAATGAACACTGCACGCTTGTCCCATCCAGAAGCCAGGAGCCTATCCTTTCAGATCTGAAGCCACTTTCTAATTCCTATAAGGGACAACAACATCGAGTCTTCGTCAGAAGAACACTCCTGGGCCCCTTCTTGTGGAACACTCTGTTCTGCTCAAGAAACCCTTGATTCCTGGGGCGCCTTGGTGGCTCAGTTGGTTAAAGCGTCCAACTCTTGATTTCAGCTCAGGTCATGATCTCACAGTTCGTGAGTTCAAGCCCCACATCCCACTGCTTGGGATTCTTTCTCTCCCAAAGAAGCTCATGCTCATGCTTTCTCTCTCAAAAAATAAATAAACCTAAAAAATGTTATTAAAAAAAAAAAAAGACCCTTGATTCCTCCTTTATTCTCTCTTCCGTATTCCATTTGCTGCGGAGCCCAGACAGCCCAAGGGCAGGACTGCCTGAAATGAGTGACTTTTATATCTTTTTGCACTAACACATCTAAGGGGAATCCCTGACACTAGTGATATGTTCGCAGGTTAACAAAGCAGACACGCTGAAACGCAGAGCCACTCACAAGGACCGGGACAGAACTCCTTACCAGATACCAAAAAGACTATGGAACACCTCTGTATTCTGCATCCCTGGTAACCTTCTGATGAAAGGATAAGGAGGCTTCCACCAAAGTCATACACAGCACACATACAGGAGCCCTAACATTCTGAACAGTTTGTATATTATTTTTTCCAGACAAAACAAATGACTTTACTAGTCTTATGGGGATACAGAGTAGCTTCCCTAGTGAGCAAGAAGCAGGCTCTTTCATGGAGAAAAAATGACCACA